AAAGGGGGGGGGAAGGGGGCCCCCCCCCCCCCCCCCCCCCCTCAGACCCCACATGTGGGACTATACTGGGTATTTTGTTGTTAACACAAAATCTGTTTCTTTCAGGGCTTTGTTATGATACCAATGAACCTATTCTTAAACAAGCTTTTGAGCAACATGGTGAAACAATTGAAGGTAATGTATGGATTACAGTACTTCTCTTTGTTCTTGCGACTTGCTTTTAGATGGTTTTATAAGCTTATTAAATTTCAGTGAAAGTAATATGTGATCATAAAAGTGGAAAATCCAAAGGATATGGGTTCGTGAAGTTCACTTCTGAAACTGCAGCTAGCAAGGCCTTGAAGGAAATGGACGGTCAAGTAAGTGTATTAGTGGTATAAATGCTCCCTATATTCTTATATTTTTCTTACAGTTCTTGTTTCCTGGACTATCATATTGTTTGTTGTAGTTTCTGTTTTGTTACTATCTACTGTTTTTGTTATTATCTGTTGTTTCTTGTACATCCGCTACTTCTTTTTCTGGACTGCTTTGGACTGTCTTTCCTTGTTGTTGTCTTACAGTTTTTGTTTTTTATGTTTCTTAGTTATTGGATGGAAGAAATATTCGCATCAGTTATGCCCACAAAGGATGACGTTGAGAGGTTTCAACTCTCATCTTTCCTTGTAAGTTTCTAGATTTTCCACTCATTGTCATGTCTTATTGCTTATTCCCACACTACTGTTGATATTTGAGTTTGATATATGCTCTCTTATGCCTCTTCACTGCAATATTGATTACCTCCAGCTAAGAATTCTTAAATAACTCGACAATAGGTAAGGTTTCATCTTCTGACTTAGGTGTGTGCAAGAACTAGCGATTTTCAGCCATGAAAGTTGTATTGAAGATTGTCTTGATTCGGGAATTTAGTCGAGGGAGAAACATCCACCAACCAAAAAGGTCTTATACCATGATTCATTGACTCTGCATCACGTGTCAGGCAAGTGATTACAGCAAGCTGGCATGGCGTTCTGGTGATAGTTAGCTAGTCGTCTAACAGGTCTGGATAACTTTAATTGGTCCATTTTCTTTTTTCCCTTGTACCTATAGGCGATTTCCCGTTGCCTGTAATAGCGAGGATCGTTGTTCAATTTTTACAGCTGTTAGAAGGAATAGAAGGAAGTTTTTAATTGCAATAGCTTTGAACTTTTGAGGGAGGAAACTCCAGTAAGTTGAACAAGGAATTGAGTTTTGCACTTACATTATGCTATTAGCATGGATGATACAAGTTGTCATAAAACCTTGTACATACTTTCTATACCCAAGTTTGTTTTAGTACAACAACAACTAGGTCACAGTCTCAAATAAGTTTAAGTTAACTATACGAATCCTCACCGCTTGTGTGAGCTTACTCACATTCCCGGTCCCAAATCAGATAAAAAGAAGAAGGTGTAGGATTGAACTAACATAGAACTAGTCAATTCATAATGAATCAACACAATACTAAACAACTTGGTTTTATAAGGAAATCTTTTAACTGATAGACCCTCAACTCAAGGGAAAAATAGTCCAAAGCAGTCCAAAGTACAAGAAGTAGCAGATAGTAAAAACAACAACAAATAGTAATAGGGCAGTAACTACAACAAAATAATATGATAGTCAAAGTATAAGAAATAACAAATAATAACATAAATCGGAGGACACAAAACTAAATGAGCAATACTACAACTTCTAGTATGGACATAAAACAAGACAATCCGCTCCCACCTTACATGCATCTTGACTAATTCCACGGGGCAACTGCCACCTCCCACCAACAAAGCTACCGGATAACTCTGTGATCTATCGATACTTGACATGATTGCTAATGTTACGACGAATTTAAGACCAAATGATCCAAGACAAATATCAAAACTGTTTCATAATAAACCTTTCGATGAACATAGGAGTCTATGAACCAAGTCTTTTGTCATAAAACAGTCTAATGTAGGTCATCTAGATCATCCAATTGAGCATTTGCAAACAACTGAGAAATGTAAACAAGATCATTAAGAGAGAAATACAAACAATAATCTCACTGATAAGTGATAGCCATAAAAAGTTTCAGATACTGAACTTCTTAAGATCAAAGAAATACATTTCTGGTGAAAAGCTACTCTTATCTTGTGATATGCGCGATAAAAGAATCCAACTCCATTCGAGAAGCACCCCCTTTTTCTGTGGAACGCCTTACAGCTTCTCCCATTTCTTCTGATCTTTTCCTAATTGCATCACCTTCTTCAGATGCCATCAACTTCCTCGCTACATTCTCAATAGTGGATGCACTTACTAGCTCCTCACGTTTCTGCTACTCCCTCACAAACAGGCCTATTTTCAATATTTCCGTCACCAAGAAACTATTTCTCGGTTGATCAGAGTGCATAGGCCAAGCAGCTATAGTCACCCCCATAGTAATGCTCTCTATGCAAGAATTCCATCCGCAATGACTCATGAACCCGCCTGTGGACGAATGAGCCAAGATTTCGGGTTGTGGCGCTCATTCTCTCACCAGTAACCCGGCCCCTTTTACTCTTTCCTCAAATCCTTCAGGAAACACACGTTTTCTAGATTCCCCGGTAAATATATCTACTCTATCGGCTTCTCTCAACACCCATATGAACTTCTGTTTGCTTTTGTTCTAATCCCATCGCGAGCTCCATGACTTCTCTATCGGAAAATGTAGTTGATGTTCCAAATGATATATAAAGAACTGATCTCGGAGGTTGTTTGTTTCAGCCATTCCAAAACATATATTGTTCCTATTCGAGATATGATTGAGTTTAATAGGCAGAATTGGTACAATTGCCCATTGTTGTTTACTTTCTACTTGTGCCAGCAAATCAAGAAACTCGCCTTCAATTACTTTACTTGTATTATGGATATCACCTGTTCTAAAAGCCATGACTCTGAAGAGCTATAAAGTTCTTGACTTCATCAGGCATCGCTCCTTCAAGGGACGGTAACTTTTTAAGCAATTCTTCTCCAAGTTGGACAGACATTCCACTAAATAAGCATGAAGAACAGTACAAAGTGAAAGCTGAAATGCAATTAAATATATAGGATTCAGCATTGAGCAAGGAAGAAACATCCTGAACACTATATGACATAAAAAAGTCATGAACAACAATGAGCAGTCTTGATTTTGAGGAGATATCACGTAAAAAGGAAGCAATGGGCTCGCGAAGAAGCGAAGTTACATCCCATAATGGCTGATGATGTAATGGGAATTTGCTCAAGGCATTAAAGTCAGGGGGAGGTGAGGCAAATTCAGGAGTTGGAATGTCATGGAAGTGGATTTTGGCTATGTCTGAAGGATTTAAGGCGTTGGCTCGAACCCGAGCTTGTTGGTTATGTGTGGCTAAGCCAACATAATAGACAGGAAGATCATATGATGAGGAGAGTAAACAGGCTAGTTTAAGAGTTGATTGAGATGGCCTTGAATTGGAAATGGAACCATGACTATAACTACTTCACGATCCATAAGAAAGTCGTTACCTTTGTCCAAGTTATAGAAGATTCAATTCAACTCACTACTGCTTTTGAGTTACTTGAATCATGTGTGAGCGTGCGAGTGTGTATGTATATATGTAGGAAGAGGATAGAATAGCAAGTTTAAACCTTTGAAAATGTGTGAAGGTGAGAGGAGGGTAGGCTTCATTAAACACGTTTGGATTATTGAATCTGGTTATTTACCTTTCAACTTTTTAAAGGCACAAGGACCACAAAGTTCATGGTGATGGAAGAGAAGTGTCTGGTCAGAAGTATTGTATCAGAGTTTTGGAGTCATGCATGAATTATTGAATCTTAATTATGTACCTAGGCCTTTTCTCATAAAATGCTGTTGTTCACATTCCTCAATTGTTTGCATTTGTTAAATTATGTTGTTTCTTTATAACCTACAACATGGTGGTACTGTTTTATGATAAAAGATTTTGTTTGTAGATCCTGTTCACATTCCTCAGTTGTTTGCTATGGACTCGCGAAGAAGCATGCAAGCATTCCAGATCACCGGGATTTTGCCTGAGGTAAAATCAGGACTACTTGGGAGGTCATAAAAGTGGATCTTGGTAATGTTAAAAGGATTTAAGACGTTGTCTCGAGCCCTAGCTTGACAATTATAAGTCCTTTGGAGTTTGGACAAGGCTCGAGTCAACGCCTTAAATGGCCTTAAGCTTGAAGTTTGAACAATCACTACAACTACTTCATGATCTTGTTTCAAATTGCTACTGATTAGTTCGTTCATTTATTCATTGTTTTCTTTCTTTCTTAAATATCGTATTTGTGTGAAGAAATTCACTTTATATGTATATATACTTTATTTAGAACCTAATAAACCGTCTTTACTAAAATTCAGAACTCATTAACTCAAAATTTTGAATTCGATTCTTTGCTGACTTAGTAGAATGGGATGTTGTAGCCTGTAAGTGGAGACAATGTACATAGGACAAGTTGGAAATCATGTTGAGGATGTCCTTTTCTTGAATAAGTAAAAACATGAATTTGATCATAAAAATATACAGTCCATGAATCTATTTAATTAGTTCAACCCAGTTGCTCTCATAAACTAATTAATTTATATGAATCCATTTGCATAATTAATCATTGATATAAAATAATTATCCAAAACCTGTGAAACTTCTTATCCAACTTATGGGACCATAATGTCACTTCTCTGAGTATGATGACACATGGAAAGATCTTGACCGTTGATTTTAGACGAGTTTACGTTATATAAATGACAATACAAAATTACACAATCAGATCATTTAAAAGATATCAACTACACGTAAGTGCCTATAACAATTGAGATTAGTTATTTGAAACATGCACTACTAAATATATATAAATTAAGGCCCTTGTGGCACAATGACAACCATTGAATGGAGATGGTACATACATTGATCCTATGTTGCTCGAACTTTGCAAAAATGTCGTCACACCTATGTCAGATCCTTATGCACTAATTTTAGAAGATCTGACATGTTTTCAGTCGACATTTTTGAAGAATCCAACCAACATAGCTGATTGATCTAGGGTTGATCAAGTTTGCCTTGTTATGTGAGAAATGAATGAATCCAACTCCATATTCTTAATGCCACTTTCTGCTACTGAATTCTTAAGAGCTCCACTCAAATCCATTGCTCTATTCCTCATTTCTTCTCCTTCTTTAGACGCCATTAATTTTTCAACTGCTGCTTGCACCATGCCACGTGTCACCACCTCGTGCCTACGTGTCCACTCCTTAACGACTAAGCCAACTTTCAAAATCTTCGTGACCAATACGGTGTTTCGGGGTTGATCCGAATGCATTGGCCACGCGGCTATTGGCACCCCCATGGAAATGCTCTCCATGCACGAATTCCATCCACAATGACTCATGAAACCACCAACAGAAGAATGTGCCAAGATTTCCAACTGAGGTGCCCAATCTCTCAACACAATCCCCTTATCTTTAACTCTCTCCTCGAACCCTTTTGGCAATTCAATCTTTCTTGATTGATGATCCTTCGCGAAAACATTCCCTTTATCCGCGTCCCTCAACACCCAAACGAACTTCACCTCGCTCCTCTCCAATCCAATTGCAATCTCCTTGATTTGTTCGTCAGAAAATGAAGTCGTGGTCCCAAATGACACGAATACAACCGAGTTTGGCTCATGTTCATCGAGCCAAATTAGACATTCATGTTGCTTGTGGCAACTTTTGGTCCCATATTGTTGTACTAAAACAGGATTGAATGGTCCAAGGGCCCATTGCTTCTTGTTATTACTTATTTGTTCCTTTGACAACAAATCAAGAAAAGGACCTTCTATAACTCTACATGTGTTGTAAATCCTCCCTGAATTGAACTTCATATAATCATGTTGTAATTTAATGAATTTCTCAAATTCAGGACTAAAACAATCTTCAAGTGATGGAACATCTTTTAGAAAATTTGCATCAATATCAAAAGGCCTTCCCATATTCTCCCATATGAACAAGAACAATGTGAATGCTGACACACTATGGAAAGCATAAGCCTCAGCATTAGGCAAGTAGACAAAATCTTGAACTACATATCCCATTAATGAGTCATGTATGATGACAATCCTCTTTGCTTTAGACGAGAGGACGGTTAGGAGTTTGGACAAAGGCTTACGTAGATGAGAAGATGACTCAAACGAGGGTTGGAGATGGCTTGGAAATTTGATCGTGGAATTCGGGTTGGGAGGAGGGGAGTTGAAGAATGGTGTTGAGAGTTCATGAAAATGGATGTTGTTGTTGTTGATGAATGAATATGGATCATGAACTCTTGATTTAGCTTGATTAGTGTGTGTCATGGTTGTAACATAATGGACTTGTATGTTGTGTGATGCAATGAGTTTACATAGTTGTAGAAGTTGATTTAGATGGCCTTGTGCTGGAAAAGGGACAACAACTACTATGATTTCTTGATTTTCTTGGCTATGGAAATGGAGAATATTGGAGGCCATTATAGAGACTATACTATATGAAATGTTTTATTTCAAAACTATAGTGTGAGCTTTACATTTATATATATAGGAAGTTTTTTTTTTTTTAGGTTCAATGTTTTGGCTAGCCACTTGTCCCAACTCACCCATCCGTCAGGGGACATCCGATATAATTGGAACGATACAGAGAAAATTAGATGACCCCAGTGCAAAGATAACACACTAATTGAGAAATGGTCCCAACTCATCTCTTTTTGTTGTGTATTTGGGAGACTAGTTGTTGTTGAGGGGTATCTGATTGCTCTATTTTATGTGGTACTATTTCTTTACTTGTCAATTAAAACAAATGATGCTGTTTTATATGTGGTGACCATATAACTTTAAAAACTTTTGTTTTACCCTTGATGACATGCTTTTGTAGCCACTTAGATATATCGTGGTAAGACTACAAGTTTTATAATAGTTTCTTTCTTTGACTCCATGCCGAGTCAAATTTCGTAGGGTAAATTGATAATTCACTGATTTTCAATTTTTCTTTTTAAGTTTAACCATATGTATTCAAAACTCACTGACTAATTCAGAATTATGTCATGTAAGATTCAATTTAGATGGAAGAGTTTCCTACTAGAATTTCCATTCCTAAGACATGAACCGGAATTTCTAATAAAAGAAGGATGGATCCATCAATTTAGTTAATTGACAAAAATTTACGAACAAGACATATATTATAAGTACTTATTAATTTGACATAAATATCGGATGCAAATAATTTTCTTTTAATCCATAGCCAGGCGATATTGGAACAGGGATAAAATAAATTTGTCAGTTTTATGCAATGAACTATTACATTAAATTATACCATGTGATTTGACAGCTGTAATTGATGAATAAAATTTTAGCAAATTCACACAAAAAAGTTTAGTATTATGATGCAAAGATTTTAATGTAGGACATGTTATTAATTAGTTTGTCACATGCTTCAATCTTATCTATTTGTGATATTAATATTTGATATGAACTGGATTTTAAATGTTAGTTTGATATTGTGTATAATATATTAATTAGAGGTTTCGATTTGAAGTCTGAATTTCGATAAATTTAGCATTTATATTTATATTTATATGTAATGTGTACTTTAGTATATTTTTTAAAATAAATTTCTGATTGAGCCATTGACAGAGTCTAAGCTCAAAACAAGCTTCTCAACCTATTTGCAACAATTCATGCGGATCTATAATGATTGTTATGAATTTACGTAAATTTAATAGCTTTTATATGTTAATTTGTATATTTCAATTTTTTAAATAATAATTATAAATATTTAATTGTAAACTTATTTATTATTATAATATAAACTTAATGTTATTATAGAAAACTGTTGCAACTTTAAATTTTGAATCTATCTTTACGAAGGGTTGAACATGTTCTCTTTGTTTCACCAACATATTCTTATCTTACATTAGTGGTGCAAAATCAATAGACATGATCTCAATTGGCTTCCAATTAATGCAACTAAAATTTCAATTTGTTTTTTCCCACATGATTGACAATTTATTTTTATTTTTGCAAATTGCAATTAGAAAACAAATAAAAAATTAAAAAATTATTATTATTATTATGTAGGGTAAGAACCAATAGTTCTTATAATAACACTATGGTCGACAATAGCTAGATGATAATATTGCTGATTAATTTGATATATATCTTTACCTACAATTGTTTTTTTTTTTTTTATAAAATATAATTAACCATGATATTTATTTATATAATATATGACATGTTTTACGTCGACTGTTAATTTACCGCAATCCTCCTCAATAACACCTTCAAGTTATTGGTTCACCTAACCCTAGGGGTGTTCACGGGTTGGTTTGGATCGGTTATTGATCAAAACCAAAACCAAACCAACATAATTGGTTTTAAAATTATCAAAACAAAACCAAACCAAATATAATATACATTTTATCGGTTTGGTGATTATCGGTTCCGGTTTGGTTTGGTTCGGTTATTCGGTTATTAACCATACACAAAAATAAAAGAAACAATTCATTTAAAATATGAAAAAAGTGACAACAATCCATTCTAAACGAAAACAAGTTAGAATGACTTAAATTATTGAACTTTCGATCGCTAAATTTACTATCAATAAAGCTTTAAAATTCACTATATTGGCCTAGAAGGAAGAGACAATAACATTTTCAGTCCCACAAGAATTGTCATCGACACTCATATACATGAAATCAATAAGATAAATGTTTCATCTTGGGCATTTTTGCTTTCAATAAGTAAATTATAAAGAAATTTTAATGAAAATATGTATAAGATCTTTAAAATTGTTTATAAAAACAATATATTAAGTATGTATATTAATAAAATATATGAATATAATTCATCGGTTCGGTTCGGTTATTTCTTCGGTTTTTTTCGTAATAAAACCATAACCAAACCAATTACTATCGGTTTTCAAAAATCTAAAACCAAACCAAACCAAACCCAAATAAAATCGGTTTTATTTTATCGGTTTGGATCGGTTTTTATCCAAACCGTGAACACCCCTACCTAACCCTATAATATTCACGAGTCGCTAGCTAATTTAAATAAATTCAAGAAGTACGTACAAAAGTACTATTCCATTTCAATTGGAAAATATGGTCAAATAATTTTAATAATGTAATTGATCAAGGGGATATTAACTTATATCACGAGAGGAAATTTTGCACGGAATTCCATTAATGCATGGGTGGCTCCCACGATTCATGTAACAAGCATCAATTGTAAACAATTGTATTATGAAGATTCATTACAAAATAACAAATTTTACGCAAATTATCAATTAATTAAAATAGTAAATTTTCATTATCTGACTGACAACTTACTTGAATATATCCCTTTATATAATTCGAGATTTGCAATATGAGCAAGCTCACGTTTATGAAAATACAAGGAGGTGTGTGGGGCGAGGGTGGGGGTTTAGGGGTGGGAAGGGGGAAGAGGGAATTATGTACATCCTACCATATGTTTCACTAATATAAGCATAAAAGTAAAAATTGGGACCATAATTAAGGAAGTATTTAAATATACGGAAGCATTTATTATTATATTACCTATTAGAAATTGACGAATTAAACTTATTTTAGATTTTTAATTTTACATTTAAATTTTATGAACGATCTACGGTTCTTCTATATTTATTTAGAAGGTAACTGTTACCGTTATGATATACATGTCACATATTAATGTTATGTAACACTCTCTTCTCTTAACAAAAAAGACATGTTCAAATCAAATATTGATTTGCATATTATATTGTAGACGTTAGCTCGTTCTTAACAAATAGAATAATAAGCATAAATCTTAAGTAAGGAAGAAAAAATGAGTTATTCTAAAATGCCAAATATGTTAAAGTAAAATTTATTTATCGGATTAATATTTGAATCTAACAGGGGCGGCTCAACAACTTTTAAAAATATAGGTTATAAGTACTTTTTAAAAAAAAATATAGAGTATTACTTATAGAAAATAAAATCTTTTCATAAAAGAGCAAAGAATAGGTTATAAGTACTTTTAAAAAAAAGAAGGTTATCAGCCTCATTTTTTTTAAAATAAAAATAAATAGGTTATAAGTACTTTTTAAAAAATAATATAGAGTATTACTTATAGAAAATAAAATCTTTTCATAAAAGAGCAAAGAAGTAATAGAAGTTCGACAAATTATGAATACTATGTCTCAAGAAAAATTAAATAATTAGCTATAATAAACTTCATAAAAAATATATATTTGAATTTAATTAAGGCATTCATTCGGATTTGGCATAAGGCCACCGATTTATTAGAGCCGCCCCTGGAATCTAAAATTAAAAAATATAGTGGCCCAAACCGTTCATTTTCGTCACGTGTCTATTTTCCTATAAAGATTTCTATTAAAAAAATTGGCCCTACCCTATTTATCTCACTTCAATATATCCAATTATGTGTTTAGTTGAAAGAGTTAAAAAAAAAATAGTGGATTTTTATGACACAACTTGAATTAGTTGATTAGTGAATTTTGGATACTGAATAATTAGAATTTAAAAAAAAAAAGATTTTTAGATTTGATGGGTTGATTAATAATTGATATTAGAATAAATAGTTCGATGAGATGAGTATGGAGATGACATAGTGATGACGTAAAGTCCAACCTATTATCTTTGTCCATTTACAGGCTGATTTTACTATTTTTACTTGTATTTTGAAGATACATACACAAAAACAAGTACGTGAGTTTGATGACCACAAATATTCGAAAAACAAGTACGTGAGTTTGATGACCATAAATATTCGAATGATATGGGTGGTACATATAGAATTTGGTTAGAGTATTTAGTTTAAAAGAAAAATTATTAAGTGTGCAAATAAAGTCTTACATTAATTATTGAAAAAATAAAAAGTTATTTATATACTCTTAATAGTTTGAGGTTTTTCACATAAAAAAATTTGCACGCTAGATAAAAAAGCAAACAATAACATAATATATTAAGAATACTAGACAAACTTAGCTAACAAAGTGATAAATACATTTTCACTTTTAATTAGAGATTTTGAATTTCAAAATCATGAAAATAAAATTTCATTCACGTTAGTTGTGTGGTGTGCTAAAAATATAAACATCGAACACCGTATCAAAATAAAAAAATAAAAAATAGTACAAACAAGAATTATATTCGCCACTTAAAGTTGTTCCGCATATGGGGGTTGGCTAATATTGCAATCAAATTAAATATATTGAAAGGTACATTAAATTGCCAAACCAATCAAAATTGTTGCGAGATGGATAGATTTTCTTTTATTTTTAACTAAAAGTTTCAAACTTGAATTCAGCGAAAAATATTCTAATAGAAGAATATTTCCTCCTTAAATAAATACAAAATAAATCAAAATTAATCGAAACTTATATAATATCAAGAATCGAATAAAAAATAAAAATATTAAATAATCAAGATTGTAGAACTAATATGCTTTTCTGCCGACAACATTTATATGGGTAAGGTTTCAAAATTAAGCACATGTCAAAAAGAATTTGAGGTAGGGGTTGACAGTGGTAGAGCCGGAATTTTCAATAAGGGGGTTCGAAATCTAAAAAAATAGACAAATAAAGTAGTTGAAGGGGGTTCGACGTCTACTATATATATACCTAAAAAAATATTTTAACCATGTATAAATAGTATAATTTTTCGCCGAAGGGGTTCAGATGAACCCCTCATTGTAAGGTGGCTCCGCCACTGGGGGTGGGGTGGGGAGGGAGGGGGGTTGGTTTCAAAGCATTCATATTGTTTTCTCTCTTTATCTATTTATGGCAGGCTGAATAAATGTATGATTGCTCAAATTTGTTATTGAATTTCTCAAGTATATTCAAATTGTGTCAATTTAACATAAATTTCATAACGTACGATTGTATGTGAACACCATTCGTTATGATAGAATATATATGATGATAAAAATAAGTTACGTTAAAATAAAAAAGTCAGAATTTTTAAAAAAAATAAGCACATGTTAAAAAAATTGGGGATAGGTAAAGGGTAGAAGGGTTGGTCCATGCATTCATGATTTCTTAATAGTCATCACTGTCATCATCGTACCTAAATTAGATCCTATATTTTCTTATTTTTTATATTAAGATTTTAATGCTCTTATCTTTTTCCAACTACCAAAACATTTAGAATAAAAAATAAGAACGGGCCTTGTGATTTCAATTGAAGCTATCATTCATAATTACAAGACGATAAAAATAAGAGACTACATTGTCGTGAACAAGAGGTTAGATTTCATTATTGTCAAGTTGTCAAATAATATTATCGATATATATCAGCTAAACTTTCTATCTATAGTTATCTCAATTTATCAATTTAATCATAGTAAACTTATTTTTAAGGCTTAAGTCATCTGCGGCCCCTTAAAGTTGTCCGCAAAATTCATTTAGACATCTTAACTAGACCTAGTACCTATTGAACACCTTTACCAACCAAGATTTGAGCCGTTTAAGCATTTTTTGCCTACATGGCAAAACGTTTGTGAGTCACACAAATGGGGCGCGTGAATCCGTTTTTCTCCCATTTTTTGCCTGCATTTAACTCCCCCAACGTTAAATTCTTAACGTAATTTCTCTCCCAACGTTCTCTTCTTCCCCTAAATCCACTCTAGAACCCTAAATCTCCCATTCTAGCTTCTTTCTCTAAATCTCCAATCTTTCTCTTGTTTCTCTCTTCTAAATCAGTTGTCTTTTATCAAATGTCGCAAAATTCAGTGAATATTGAGGAAGCTGATATATGTAAATGTGGTGATTATTGCTGACTGAAAACTTCGAGGACTCCATTGAACCCATGTCGTCGATTTTTTGGATGCAAAGCATCAAAGGTTTGTAACTATTCGAACAAAAACTATTGTTATTGAATTATTCGAAAAATCAAAATTTTGTATATCTATTACTGTTATATGGTTTGTAGGAAAATGGTGGATGTGGCTATTTTAGATGGATTGATCCGTCGCCTGAAAATGCTGATGAATCATCTAGATTTGTGTCATGGAATAGATTCATAGATGGTGAAAAAATCCGATTGAACGATTAAAGAGAAAAGTGAAAGAGCTTGAAGAAGAAAGAGATTCTTTGAAATTTCAATTGAATGAAAATGAAGAGAAGATGATGGTATTGAACAAGAAGCTCAAGGAAGTTAAACTCCAAAGGGATTGGGAAAATGTCATATTTAATCGACTTGTGATTGTTTTTCTTTGTCTGCTAACTATAAAATGGTTCTTTAATATGGTGTACTTCATAGTAGTTCAAGATTGTAGTACTTAATTGTTTAGTTTTGTAGTAGTTAGAAGGTTAATTGGTCTGTTTTGTAATAGTTAGTCCTATGTAAGTTCATATTTTGCATCAAATTGAAAGTTTGAATATGAATTGATCAGTCTCTTTTGTAACTTGCCTCTCTTTTGTAACTTGCCCTGTGTTCTGGAAAAATAGAGCAATTTTCCAGACCAATTAGTTCTGGGATCGAGTAGTCTTACACAAATGCATTGAGAGGTAGTCTAGTTGTTGTTCAAAAAATGAGCTAATAACACAATTGCATGGTTGAAAAATACATAACACAAAGGCATGGTTGAAAAATACATTACACAAAGCCATGGTTGAAAAATACTAACACAAATGCATTGAGAGGCAGTCTAGTTGTTGTTCAAAAACTACTATCTTTCTAACACAAAGACCCATCCAAAAAACTACATGGTCTTGCTAACACAAAGGCATGATTCAAAAATACAATTCACGAGTGTTCAAAATAAACTAAAGAGTAGATTGACCCTTTTAACATTGCCCAAAATCATAACATCTTTCCAAATGAGCTACTTCTTGGAGGTTCCACAAGTCCCTTTGTTTTTCTTGTTTGCTTTCATTTGTTGCAACTGTGAAGTGCTGATTGCATCTTTTCCCTTCCATTTTAGGCCATGGGGTTTAAAGTCAATATCTATATTGGTTGGTGAAGCACTCTTCAATTTTGTTGGCCCATGTAGAATCTTCTCACTTGATGTATCAGGCTGTAATAGAAGAAATAAAGTGTAAGATAAGGTAAGATCATAATATGGCTATCAGAATATACACCAAAACAAAGTAAACATATTAAGTGAACATACATCAAGTACTTGGGCTCCAGTTGTGGGATCAGAGTAAATACCAAAATCAGTTGTAGGCCTTCTGTTTCCTCCAGTAGCTACAACAAATGAGACAGAACTGTATGGTCTCTTGTGACCTGATAAAGGTGGCAGTTGACTAGAAGAATTATCTCTTTCAGTAACAAATGGGGTCCCTCTTGCATTAGATTTTTTTCTTCCCAATCCTCTTCCAGTCCCAACTTGCACCCTTTTTTGAGGAGGTCTTGGTACAGAGGTTGTGTCACCATAAATAGATCTTGGTTGACTTGATTGTGTAGTTGCAAATGTGGTTTTGGAAGTAAAGTGTGATGGACCTCCCATTCTAGCCTATATAGCATAAATAAAGATATATGAATAACTTGTAGAAAAAACATTAAACGTATATGAATTTTTAAATTTAATCTTACTCTTGTTTGAGTAGTTCTTGGCACAACATTGGTGTCACCACAAACAGAACTTTGTTAACTTGATTGTGTTCTAACCTATTGAACATAAATAAGGAGATATGAATAACTTGTACAATAAAAATTAAATGTAAATGAATATGTAAATCAAATCTTACTCCTGTTTGAGAATAACTATGTTGATTTGAATTTCTCTTACTATCAGGTTGAGAAGTGCTTCCCCTACCATACTATGTCACCACAAAATAAAATATATGACTATAATATGTATGAACTTTATGCAATATATAAATGTGAATATGAATTATTACTTACTTTTGCACACATAGCTTTGTTATGACCAGTTTTCTTGCATATGGAACATGTCATCTTTACTTCTTTTTTTTGAAAGTTTACCATATTTTTTTGGTTCATCCTTACTCTTTTGTCTCTTCTTGCCAGGCATTTTTCTTGATTTTGGAGGCTCTATAGATGAATTTGTAGTTTCAGGCCACATCCTCATATTGGGAATAGGTTGGATGAAATAGTCGTAAGCCTTGAGAAATGTTTCTTTTCTTATACCAGTGCGCTGCATGCTGATCAGGATCTTGACTCAAGTAATAATAAGCACAAATAGCATGAGGGCAAGGAATACCTCTCAACATCCACAACCTACAGTCACAGTGCTTCTTATCCAAGTGAACAACAAATGAATATTCCCCATACTAATTTCAAAACCATTCACCCGATTCCATTGAACTTTACATTTATTAGAATACTCCTTGTTTCTTTCTAGTATTGTCCTTGCCATAGGTGCAATGTCTGATATCCATGTTTCAACAAATTTGTTCATGTCTATATATTTTATGCCTAATATCCTCTAACATGATAATAATTGATTTATGTCTAGCAGCTAAGATCTAGGAATCGTAAGTCTCACACATGTTATTTTCTACAACATCACAGTTAGAGTGAGTTTGGAAAAAAGTCGTAGGTCAATTCTTGGGATCATAATGCAACAAGTCCTTTGTTGTTTCCTTCTTACCTAGCTTAGACATTGCATGAACTTCTTCTCTAAACTTAACTTCAAAGGAGGATGTTGAGCATCTCCAAAACGGTTTCCTTCTTTCTTTTCCTCTCCATGTCACATGCTAGTTACTCCATATATGTCTAGCACACATCCTGCTATCAACATTTGGTGACAACTCTAACAAGATGAAAACAAGTCCCTAACAAAAAATATGTCCAAAATAAGAAATCGAAGTAGTAAAGATCAAATCAAAACTAAAATATAAGAAATTGTGTAATCAATACCTTTTGCATATTTGACATTACAGTCAAACCTTCACTAGTTCCCAAATTTAGATCCACAATTAAATACCTTATGAACCAACTCCAACTATGTTTTGTTTCTGTATCCACAACTGCCCAAGTAATGGGATACATTTGATTATTTCCATTCTTTCCAACAACAACTAATAGCTCACCCTTACAAGCCCCCTTGAGAAAACAACCATCAAATCCAATTATATTCCTACACCCCTCCAACCATCCTTGCGTAAATGCATGAAAGCACACATAAAAATAAACAAAAAGGTTCTTTCCTGGTTTAGTTTTCTTATCAGTTTTTACCAAACAAAAGCTTCCAGGATTGGTTTGTTTGATCATATATGCATAGTCACATAATCTGAAAAATTCCAAAATCCAATCACCCATGTTTTCCTTCATAACCCTCTGTTTAGCCCTATAAAAAATAGTCTTACCAACATAAGACCCAACTTCTTTCTTACCAAATCTTGAATTTCCCAAATCCTTATGTATGGTTGAAATACAATTTTGTCCTTAAACTTTCTAGCAATTAACTTTGAATTACACAACTTGTTCTTGTTTAATGGAATACACTTGTGAACAAAATGATAGTTCTTCACAATAAAATCACCTGAGTCCCAATGGAAGCATATAACAACCACTTACGGTTAGAATTTCTGCACTTTATCCTCACTCTATGTTTTTCATTAGGTTTTAACTTTATCTACCTCCTGTACTCTACAACATAATTTGACACTGCCTTCTTGAACTGAGTTGCACCCTCAAAGACCATTCCAAGCTCAAATTCACAATCTTCATCATATCTGACTTTTTTGCTTCTCCTTCCAGCAGGTATGCCTACTCCCCTAACAACATCCACATCAAGTTGTTCATCACTATCATCACTCCAACAGTCAGAGCTATCAAGATAATCCTCATCTCCACCCATTTTTCCTGTATATTTGTTAGCTTTATTTTTTTTCAATGTCCTCAAAGCCTCTTTCTATACCACCAACCTCTCCAACTGGTATTTCTTCATATTTAATAGCCTTTTTCCTCTGTTTTTTTGTTTCTTCTTTCTTGTCTAAAAGCTCTCAACTCCTCATCAATATTTGAACCATCTTCTGAAGGTATATCCCCTAGATCTGAATCACTACTCAAGAAATCAAATTCACCTTCTCCTCCTAGGTTATCATCCACACCCTCTTCACCTAGATTAACATCAACACCCTCTCCACCTAGGTTAACAGCCTCACCATCTCCATCTAAGTCAACAACCTCACCCTCTTCACCAAGGTTAACATCAACACTCTCACCAACTAGGTTAACAACCTCAACCTCTCCACCTAGGTCAACAACCTCACCAACATCAATATTATCATTAGTTAGATAGCAATAGGTCCCTCAGTGTCAAGTAAGGGTTCATATAATACATGACAAACAAATACTTCATAAGTATCCTCATGTTTTAAGTCTTTAATTAGGTGTTGGAGATGTTGGTCAGATGTAATTAGGACAAATTGTTTATTCAATAAATCCTTGACATAAAAGCCTCCAACAGTTTCATACCCCAATTCTTTAGTATAATGCAGTAGTTCCAAAATGAAAAAGTGGTCCTTATCTATATACCTGAGTGTTGGCACATAGTTTCCAACATAAGTAGGGACATACCTCTCGGATAAGATTCCACCATGGTAAATGCTTGTAAATATAATCTCTTCCATGGTCAATTGTTAGGTATCCCTGCAAAATATCAAACAAACCCTTGATTAAGATAACATAATATACTAATATAATCCATACAACAACTAAAAATCAAAGCTTAAAAGCATATTTACCGGGGAATTGTAAAAAAGGGACAAAATTTTCGCAAAAATCACGAACCCTAGATTTTAACAAAACCTTAGCCTTTTGAATTCATTTCACAAAGCATGTAAAAAACATTAACAATCCTAACTTACATAGAGAAATTTTCAAGATCATAACACGAACAAGACGATTTCAACTTCAATCTGGAAGAAATCGCGAAGAGAGAGAACTTCAATTTGGAAGAAGTCGCAGAGAGAGAGAGAACTTCAATTCTGTCAAAGTTAATGATTTAGGGATTTTGCCCATTTAACCCATTACAAATACACGTCGAATACACGTGGTAGTTGTTAAATGACCATTTTATACACATCGGATACACGTGGGGAGCTTATTAACACGCGCCACACAATTTATGAAAAGTGACAAAAAATGCTTAAACGGTTCAAATCTTTGCTGGTAGAGGTGTTCAATAGGTACTAGGTCTAGTTGAGGTGTCTAAATAAAATATACTGACAACTTTAAGGGGCCGTAGATGACTTAAGCCTATTTTTAAGGTCATTTTTATGTAGATTTTTTACTTTACATCTTTTATCACTGTTGTTTAAGTCACTTGTTGCTCCCAATTGCACACACAAGTGTACGCGGTCGCGCAAGTAATATAGTAGATCTTAAAAGAACCGAATTATCGAACCCAAAGGACTTGTCGATTAATTATTCTTACTATTTAAGGGATGATTTCAAAAGATGAATATAT